CACGAGGGCGAGGAATTTGTGTTTATCGCATTGGATGCTTTGGTTTGGGAAAGGAAATGGATCTGAATAGGTTTAAGGTTTCGATTGCACGGAGGCAAGAAAAAGGAGTTTAGTTAGGCAATTTGATAGAGAATGACGGCTATTCGATAAACGAGACGTCAGCCTCACAATCAATTAATCGGGATATCATTAGAATGCTAGATCCCAATGATACCTTTTTCATTCAAAAGATTCTACGAAATGTGTTTGAGAAGGTTTCAATCGCACGGAGGCGAGGAAAGCAAGTTGGGTTGAATATTTTAAGGGAGAATGACGACTACTCGATAAACGAGACGCCAGTCTCGCAATCGATTAATCGGGATGTCATTGGAATGCTAGATCCCAATGATACCTTTTTCACTCAATTAATTATGAAATTGTATTTGAATGGACAATAACGACATTGGTCCAAGTAGTTAGGGCATGTATTTTATATACGAAAGGTTGAGCGAACCACAACCTAAAGTGTACGCCCTAAGAGTGGTTACTCAAGAATTCAAGGAGTGCGAGACTCCAAGAACTCAGTTCTTTCGCAATTTAATTAAGAAAATGGTTTGAATTTGACGTATGGTTTAGAGACATACTAGGGTTTAGACTCGACCGTATGAAGATGAGGAACGAGATTAAAGAGGTTGTATATTTAGGAGGAATGACGACTACTCGATAAACGAGACGCCGGCCTCGTAATCAATTAGTCGGGATGTCGTTGGAATGCTAGATCCCAACGAAAATCTTTTTCATCCCATTAATTATGAAATAGTGTTTGCTGGACAGTGAATACTTGTCCAAATAATTATGGAAATATTTTAGAAACGAAAGTTCGAATGATATACTGTTCGAGGTGTACACCTTGATAGTAATTATTCTCGAATTCAAGGAATGCGCGACTCCAAGAACTCGATACTTTCGTAATTTAATTATGAAACTAATTTTGAAAATATTAGCGTACTCGGACTAGGCGCGCTATGTACTCTAGAAAATAAGATCGAAAGGGTCACAACTCGAGGTGTGCACCTCGAGAGCGGTCGCTTAAAAAACTCAAGGAAGGCGGGATCCAAGAATTTAATTGTTTTGAAAATTGATTTTGAAAAAATAGTTTAATTTAATTAAGAAAGATAGTTTTAATTTTCAAAAATTAATTAATCAATTGCTTATAAAAAGATTTTGAGAAAAATTAATCATAATTAATTGTTTTGAACAAAGTTTAGTATCTTAGAAAAAGATTTTAACTTATTTAATAAAGTAAAATTTTCTAAAAGTTTAAAATATTCATTTGGTAATAATTGATGAGATTTATATATTTTTTAAAAGAATAATTTGAATTTCTTATTAAAAAATATCTAATAGTAATTAAAAATATCTTTAAGAAATTTCAATTAAGTGAAAAAAAACATTTTGAAAACCGAAAGAAGGAACAATCACAGCTCAAGGCGTGTGCCTCAAGAGCGGTTGTCCAAAAATTCAAGAAAGGCGAGATCCAAGAATTTAATACTTTCGATAATTTAATTAGGAAAAATCTAGATTAAATATGTTGAGAAATAATTAGTTGAACTTTGAAAACACTACCTTTAAAAAATCTTTTTAAAAATTATTTTAAAGCATAAAAGCGCAAAAAGCGATAAAAATTATTACATTTTGAAGGGAGTGAGATACATTTGATCAAATGGAGATAAGGAATAAAGAGAATAGACAAAAACCCGATTGAAGGGGTAACTGTGAGACTTGATACCCGAGATTGGAGGCAACTTCAAGACAAGCTCTACGCGTTACTTCAGCAGCTATTGTATTAACCAAAAGCATAACCTCCTTGCTTAGAAAATTTGATTCTTTCTCTGAAATTTTCTCCAAGTAAGAACATCAGAATACGTTTCACAACTAATTTCTATACATGGCCGTGCCTCCGACTCACCCTTAAATAAAATGCTACAGTAAAGTAGAAATTCAGCATAAACTAGCAATTATCCAATAAAATAAAAAGTTATTATTTAATGATCTTCTTATAAAGAAATTCGAATTTCCTGATAAGCATCACCAATAACATGGTCTCGTGGCTAACATGACATTGAATTCTCACAAGAAAAATGAGCACCAAGGCACACAACACGTATTTGAAGGGTGAACAACCACCAATATAACATGGCTTATGTAATTACTACGATACTGGTAAGCAAAATCCAATACTATTTGAAAACATAACCAATTATATAAACACATCACATGGTTATACGTAATACCAACTCAACGCCGTAACTAATAACAAAGCATAACAATGGCTAGAATTGGATAAGATTCTGCACCAATTCAAGTCTACACAAGGTATTATCAGTTCAAGGAATACTACCAAAGAAGGAACTTTGTCGGTGTCGTATCTGCTACACAATCGCTGCAGTTAGCAAAAGGGACGCGGAGTCGTTGCCGGAGTTGTCACAACTCAGCAACGTTGGCAATGAAGAGAGGTTAATCTTGATTGAGACATAGGTTTTCGCTGCTACAAACTGCTGCTGCTGAAAACCGTGATCATCACGGTGTCGGCACCCGAACTTGTTGGATATGAGGTGTGGCATTATGGTTGAACTATGTGCGAAATCCAGATTTCCTCATCTTCCCTTTCATTCTCATCGATGACTCTCTTTCGGTGGCATCGCAACTTGCATAGAAATTTATCCACAACCTAAACATAGAGTAGATAATGGAAATGAATGGCAAACAGTTAAAGGTTGCTTTCAAAATAATGAACATGGCCATTTCATCTCTTGAATTTACTCCAAACTTGGAATGCTAAGCTCTATTGCAAATCGGAGCTACTGACTCATTTGTCACCACAATCGCAAAACGTAAGCTCGGGATGTAACAAGCTGCGAGATGTTGAATCTTTCGTTGCTTGGAAGTACTGCTGCAGATTAAAGCATGTGTTATTATCATGCTGCTGCCTGTTGTCTGTTTGAGAATGAAACAATGTTGCTGTTGTGATGTTTGTTGACATGAACCGAGTCGGTTTCAACTTCCGAATCTCGAATCTATAACCTGCATACACCAAAAAAACAGAAAAGAAAACGGCTCCGGTGTTTGTGGTGCCGCCACCAATTAATTGAAACCATACACACAAAATATGACATGAAAAATTACCCAACTTCGGACCAGTATTGACAAATTAATCACGGCGGTAGGACAGCCACATAACTTTACCAAATTACAAGGCTATAACGACATCGATACACAAACGGTTGTGCAATAAGATATGCACAATACAAACAATCAAACAACAGGCGAAATCGAAATCTAACATTTACAAATTAAACCACACCGAATAGCAAGAGAATGGAAACAAAATTGTCCTGTCATAGCAGGCATTCCATGAGGTGTAACAGCAAATAATAAACTGTGAACATGGAGTCAAACATAATTACAACCTACTGGCAGCCTACTAACAACAACACATTTGTTCTAATAAAACTTTTGAAATCACAACCGACAAAACAGTAGCAACATATTGCAACAAAATAGTAGCAACACACTATAATATCTACACATCTAAAAAATAATATTTACCACCATTTAATTACAGTAAAATGCAACACAGTTAAACCGAATATCACATAGTATTCATTTTTTGATTGCAAGGTATGAGAGAACAACAATTAGAGAAGTCGGAAACATGACGAAAGGGATACCGTCGTATTTGTGCGTATAAACCTTGTGCTGTTGTAATAGAAATCGAAGAAAGTGATTTGAATCACGAATCTCATGAGGATATGCAAGTTGTTGCTATGAATGGACTACCGGAGACAAAATCGAAGTTAAAGTTGTTATTTCTGAAATCAAATCTACATAAACTCAACCGCCAACGCAACCTATGAACTTTGCCGGAATAGGGGGACGTGCGCCAGTTGACATCAACCAGAATCCAACAAGAAGCAGCACTTCGATGTCTGTCGCGATGATGTTCACTCACCCTGCATCAGACTTGATACCTGCACAACAAACAAAAAGAATTCCCATTTTGCGTGAATGATAACATGGTAACATCCGCGACGGTTGTTGATTGTAGCCACTTGACTTTCCCTGCATTAAAATGTTTGGTTGCATTTTTTGTGTCGAAAGCTGAAACTAGCAGAATTTCACCATTGTGTAGCCGAAACTGGGTGATGTCGCGATAATAACATATTGAACCCGGATGTTGAGTCGGGACACAACCTCAACATGTTTATAAAGCTCGGGAGGAGGCAACTTGATGGCATCAATCATCTTTGGCTTCCCACATTTCTTGACCAAGAGTTCTACCTCATTACAGATTGCTCGCACTGCATCCTGACCAACTTCTACATCTTTAAGTAGCTTCTCTTTAGGAAGAAAATTGCTATAACCCTCTATCATCAATATTGCGCTATCTGTGCCCGCTAGCATGAGGTCCAACTCAGAGTTTTCCATCTCCTCGGTTGTAGGATTTACTATATACTTATCACCAATGAGGCCAACTCGAACTCCAACAACTGCTTTTGACATAGGCACTTCTGAAAGTGCAAGTGCTATACCAGCAGCTGTGATGGCCAAGGAATCGGGGGCATGTGATCCATCATAGCTTAAAACCCAAGATGATATTTGAGTTTCATGGTAGAAGCCCTTAGGCATAGTAGGACGTAGAGGCCTATCAATCAATCTACAAATAAGAACCTCGTGATCCTTGGTTTTTCCTTCTCATTTGAAGAAACCTCCACTAGTACGACCAGCAGCTGAAAAGCGCTCTTGATAATTCACAGAAAGGGGGAAAAATCGGATGGCTCACTAGGAGTATCATTCAAACAAACAGTGGTGTACAGAATGGTCTCCCCATCCGTAACTGTAACAGAACCACTTGCTTGCCTTCCTATGTGACCAGTCTCACCCAAAATATGTCTATCGCCAACGGGAATCTTCACCGAATGCTTTTGCAGGGAACTATGCGGGACACCAACATCAATGGACTACAAAACTTCTGATGATGAATTGACGGAAGATTTGACGTCGAAACGGCGGAAGCTATTCTTAACGGAAAAGAGCGAATTGAACTTTAATTTCCCGAAATTGACTACGCGAGGGAGGCGAGGGAAGAGAAGAGGCTTGGAGAGTAGGAATTTAGAAGGCTGGGATTGGCGGTGGAATGTGGCAGGGCCATGGAAGATGTTGTTAGTGCATGCTAGCATATTCTCCGTTAGGGTTTATGATTTTTGAGCGGTTGTTGGTGGTGGTGAGAGTGAGTGGTGGATGAGAATGCAAGAACAACGGTGGGTTTTTTGAGAGAGTGAGTGTTGCACCCTAAAATTTGACCAACCGGTTCTCCTACCTGGTTCGTGGTTTAATTCGTATTCGCATATCAGATGCATGACATTTGTACACAGACAGAGGATGTCAGGGTTACAGCTTGGTTTTCATCTACCGGATATTTCAGATCCAGTCCAGATAATCAGGGTTTCATTTTCAGGAAATTGTGCGCTTCTCGGCATTTTCAGTATACACTGTGTTTTTCAGGATATTCTGGTGTCCGGGGTTTACCGCTTGTTCCAGTCTGGCCTAGTGTTCCCTTCTGATTGAGTTTAACTGCTTAATTGCCTTTATAGTTTTTCTAGATTTGTTAAATAGTTTCACTTGTTTTCTAGAATATTAAATAGGATTTTAATAGAATCATATAGGATTTTAATGGTTTTAAATATAGAATAGTGTATAGCTTAATAGTTTTTTTTATAGAATATAGAATTTAAATAGCTCTTATTAAATAGTGTTAATATAGAGTTTAAGTAGATTTTATTGTGATAAGAGTTTAATATGGTTTTAAGGGCATTTTGTTTTAGAATAAATAGTTTAATTCATTTTAGAAATTTGTAGATTTTTCTTTTAATAGATTTTATTAGTTTTAAATTGTTTTAGGGTTTGATAGCTATTAACGTTTTTCCTTTGAGTATTAGTTTAGAGATTAACAATTTTTTTTCTATTAGTTAGAATATTAATTGTTTAGGATTAATTGTGTTGTTTAATCTAGGTTAATGGATTAGATTTTATTAATTAGGGTTATATTAGGCGGTAATAGTTTTTAGTTAATTAGTTAATTAGGTTTAATGCAGTTAATCATTTTCATGTTATTAATCCATCATTAGCCCTTTAATCCTCATTTAATCATGCTTTAAGTCCGTGTAATCCAAGATAGTGGGCCAGTCCAATTCAGAAAGCCCAGAGTTTGGGATCCACGTGGCTATATAAGGGGGCCCCACGCGTCCCTCTCTTCTTCTTCCACCTCATTCACTCCTTCACTGACACCTCACCCTGCCCCACTCGCTCTCTCTCCAGCACACATGTGTTGCATGCAATAGCACCCGGTGCCACTTGTCTTCACCTCCTTCTCGCCGGGACACCCTACCGCCGGGCATGCAAACACCCTAACCTCCCACCGACGACAGCCCTAACCATCACCGGACCACCGCCAGACGCCGGAATCTGCAGATTTCATCAGAAATCCATCCAAACCTTTGGATCTTCATCTTCTACCTTCATCTCCCTTTCTCCGGAAAACATCATCTCGCCGGAAACTTCATCTAAGCACATATCCACCGGCGATTTTCCCAGATTTTCTCAGAGAACCTGCAAGATTCTTCATAGTTTCGCTTTGCTGTCCAAGAACAATCGAGGTCGACGCCCAGACCTTCGTCTACGATCTTCATCCACCTTCAATTGAAAATTCCCAAAGACTACCATCAAGATTCATCTCCTCGACGCTTCCTTCAAAGAACATCAACACGTATCGTCTCCAGTGAACTGGTCTAAGCTTCAACAACGATCTTCTGCAAAGATCGTCGGATCTCCAACGGCGCCTTCAACCAAGATCTTCAATCATCCTTCGAAGACCTTCAAAGTACCCAGTTCATCTTCAAATATCTTCCGGTTGGTTGATCCTTAGGAATCTACGAAGAATCCTCCAGAAATCTTCAAGATCTCCGCGAGCTCGTTTGAGATTCTTCAAAGCTTCATCGTTTCCATCGCTTAAATCCAGGTTTGCCCTTTTCGCTATCTATCCATTATCGTTCCTTCAGTAGATTAGGTTTTTGTTTTTTCTGTTAGGGTTGTGGATGAAGGAGTTTTCAATTAGGATAAGTTGATTGGATTGGAGACTGGGGAGAGTTTTGTTTGGATGAATGAACAATTTCGTGGGATTTGTTATGTTGGAAGTGAGAGTTTGTTAGGGTTGGAGAGAGATTGTTTGAGAGTTCATGAGAGAGGTTGAGAGGTTGAGGGATCGCGAGAACGGCGATTAGGGTTTGAGGGGAGGTAATGAACAGTAGACGAGTTTTTTTTGGGGAGAAGATGGTTTTGTTAATTGGTAATTGGGTTAGAGTTTGGATTGGGTTAAGCCCAAGTCTGAATTGCTGCGAACTACCCCTTCGTTTACTCGCCATACCCTCCCCTGGCTGTGTATGCTGAATAAGAATTGCATGGGCTTAAGTCCCAATTGCTATGTGCAACCCCCATATTTGGGCCCAGTCTGGAATAACTGAGGCGTTTTGCTGAGTGCACCCCCCTGGTTTTATTTTCTTTTTAATTTTCTTTGTTTTATCCATGTTAGGAAATAATTCATAAAAAATAGTAGGATGATCCAATTAATTCCCTTCTTTTTTCTGTAGATTCATAATTAAATTTAGAATTTTAGGGTGCAAAAATATTAATTTGATCATGCATTTTCATTTTTATTGCATTTTTTGCATTTTAATTGGTTTTGAATATTGATTTGTGATGTGTCTGCCTTGTTGATTTTAGTTCTCTCATTTGGTAATGAATTTTGCTTTTATTTTTTAGTATGTTGTATTAGACTAATGCATGCTCCCCATAGATTTTTCATAGAATTTTTGGATGCTGTTTGCTTCTGTTTTAGGGTAGATGATTAGGGACCTCATAACTTGCTGGTTAACCCTTGACCATTCATATGTTAGGGATTGTTTAGTAGCCTTAGAAGTTGATTTAGGCTTTGAGATTTGATCTTGGGATCATAGAGCCATTTAGGTTCCCCCTAGATTTTTGGTAGATTTTTATAGAGTGTTCTGTTATTTTTTGCTTGAGCTTGAGAATAGGAGAAGTCTTGAGGGCTTCTGACTTTGAAGTTCAACTGTGGTTGAACTTTAGAGATAGTTTCTTTTGGTTTGAGGGCCTGTGGTTTCTTCTTGAAGATGGAGGCTGGGTGAAGACTTGATAGAGCTTGCAAGGGTGCATAGATTGAAGACCTAGTCTAGGAGCTTGCTCTCTTTCTGTGAGGTTTGAGATCCTGAAGTTTGAGGGAAATTTATGGTACTTTCCTGAGGAAGGCACTATGGATGTCTTTCATTCTTTCTTCTCACCTCTTTCTTAAGTATCCAATGATGTTGGAGCCTTCATGTGAGTTTAGTTTCTCCTGAGGAGGAATGTAAACCGATCACAGTTGTTGAGCCACATGGGATATGATTCCTAAGTGGAAGCCCCCTAGTATTTTCCAGAGGAAGGCACTATGGGTCTGTTCACTTAGTTCCCTTAGTTCATGTAGGATTTCTCAAGTATCCAATGATGTTGGAGCCTTCATGTGAGTTTAGTTTCTCCTGAGGAGGAATGTAAACCGTTCACAGTTGTTGAGCCACATGGGATATGATTCCTAAGTGGAATCCCCCTAGTATTTTCCAGAGGAAGGCACTATGGGTCTGTTCACTTAGTTCCCTTAGTTCATGTAGGATTTCTCAAATATCCAATGATGTTGGAGCCTTCATGTGAGTTTAGTTTCTCCTGAGGAGGAATGTAAACCGTTCACAGTTGTTGAGCCGCATGGGATATGATTCCTAAGTAGGAGCCTCCTAATACTTTCCTAAGGAAGGCACTATGAGTCTGCCTACTTAGCTCCCTTTCTTTGGTAAGATTGTATTGAAGCTTGAAGAATGGGATGGATTTCTCCCTTTAGGGTTTTGCTTTAGGGTTTTGCTTAGGATAGATTAGGGTTTTGTTTTAGGGTTGTTTAGGGCCCTGCTCAGGGGTAGTTTCTTGCTTTTGGATAGGAGTTTGCCAGGCTGGTTAGCCTTCTCTTTGTGTTGATTGACTTGTGTGGTGCTGTGCTGCATTAGACTTAGGGGTTCATATAGATATTTCTGAGATAGGTGCATCCTAGAAATAAGCCTGCTTGTGTGCATGAGAAGTTGAGGTGGTCCTCCTTCTGCTTGATTGTTATTGAGTGGCTTTGCTTGTTGGTATTTGGTAGAGCTGAGCTCCCTTACCTCTGTGGTTTGTGGCCCTTGTGCCTTGCTTGTTTGGTTGTTGCATTCATGCATGTTTCCAGTATTTCTTTACTTTGTAGTGATTCCTGTTTGCTGTTTAGTTCTGTTGCCATGATCCCTTAGGAGCTCTAACTTCTCTGCTGTGGAGGAGTTATGATAGACATTAGGTTGGTTAATCAGGCATGATAACATTAGGTAGATTCCCCTTTTCATCCATAGTTTTAGGGTGTCTCTTTCCTTTCTCAAAACAACAGAAAAACACTTAATAAAGGATAAAACAAAAGTGAATTCATTTCTTCCGTCAAAAGATTTGAACAAACATCAAAACATTTTGTCCTCCTGGACTGTGAAAACCCTTGGTTAAGGTGCATTTTCCCATAAAAAACACTTGAACAGCTTGTGTCGTGCGTAGCCCGAACTACGTTTTCTCTGATCTTCCATGCCGTGTGGAAGTATGTAGGCACAGGACGCGATGTCCTGGCGAGCAACCTTCCCCCCGTCTAGACGTAGGTAGTCGAACTACGTTGACTCTGACTTTCCCATTGCACGAGGGAGTACGTAGGCCCAGAACAGCGTATGTTCTGTCGAGTCCTGTCCTTTTCTTTTCTTTTCAGACTGACCACTAGCGTAGATAGATAAACACACCCTTTTCCTTATAAACACCAAGCGTGGATCCCGTCGAGTACGACGGACGTGAGGGGTGCTAATACCTTCCCCTTGCGTAACCGACTCCCGAATCCAGGTTTTGGTTGCGATGACCATACCTTTCCCGTTTTTTGCGAGGTTTACTTCGAGCGTTTCCTTTCCCTCCGTTGGGATAAATAACGCACGGTGGCGACTCTTCTGTCATGCCGGCGCCGATTTTCGCAGTAGCGACAGCTGGCGACTCTGCTGGGGACATGTAGCATCTAGGGACTTTTCCCATCCCT